TTAACATGAGCTGTTTTGGCATTTTTGCTCATTAATTTTATGCAGTTTACAGACAAAGATCAGCAGCCCTCTGGAAGTGAGGGAGAAGATGATGATATGGAGGCTGCCTTGAAGAAAGAAGTTGGTGACATTAAAGCATCTACGGAGATGCAGCTAAGAAGATTCCAATCAGTGGAGAGTGGAGCAAATAACGTAGTCTTCATCAGGACACTTGGGATAGGTGTGTCTAATAAGCCTTAAGATTATTGAGCCTATAATATCTAGACATCTCCTTGTCTTAGTGAATACTGCCTAAAAAGTGGCTTCATGGTCACGGCTCAGTTAATAATTTGATTGATCTTCTTCACACTGTTTTAGCACTAAGCATATGGAAAGGTAGAATGGTGTGGTGAACATAACATTGGCTTAAGAATGGAAACCTGGCTTTGCCACTTTCTTTGCGTGTAACTTTAGGTGAAACAAGAGTACAAGTTCTGTCTAAAAGAAGCAGCTGCTATTCAGCTCCAGCCAATTTGGAATGACTAACCATCTGGAATGTAGTCCTAATAGAGCCAGGTCTTTTGATTTTTGAAAAGAAGGTGGAAATCTGGAGAAGTTTGTAGATTTTTTAATGTAGTTAACTAATTTAAAAGTATTGAAAACACTGAGTAGCCCCAAATAGACTTGTATGTCATCAGGATGTGGCCTAAGGATCATATGATGATTTTGTGTAATTCATGGTCTTGGGGCTCCTCTGAGTTCTGAGATCTGGATTTTTGTACAAATTTGATCAATGGATGAGTTGAATGTGTGGTTTTTAAGTTTATTTATATTTGGAGAGAGTGAGTAGGGGAGGGGCAGAGAGAGATGGAAAGAGAGAATCCCAAGCAGGCTCCATGCTCAACTCAGAGCCCCAGACAGGGCTTGATCCCATGACAGTGAGATCATGCCCTGAGTTGAAATCAAGAGTCAGATGCTTCACCTGCTGAGCCACCCAGACACCCCTTAATTAAATCTTTTAAAGTGACTTGCAGATTTTGTTTTGTTTATTATTGTAAAAAAAAAAAAAAAACTGTTTAATAACAATATGTTGGTAGTTGCTCTTGTTATAGGAAAACAATATGGTCTTGTTTGGACAAGTCAGACATCACAAAAATGTTAACTCCAGTGTTTTCATGAACTGTTGTTTTTAGTGAAAGCAGTCGTAATGCTGAAGAGTTAACATATTAGATATAGTAGTAATCATAGGCAGTGAAGAAAGTTGGAAAAACTGTTTGATTAGACTTATTAATGTTCGTCGTGATAATTTCTTCTACTATACTGTTGATGTAGGTTGCTGACAATGAAAATTCATTTTGGACAGTTTGAAGAGGTTTTAAAATGTCTGAGAGCTTATATTCTTGTTCTTTTTTTGCTGATTTTTTTCTTTTCTTTCAGAACCTGAGAAATTGGTACATCATATTCTTCAGGATATGTATAAAACCAAGAAGAAGAAGACTCGGGTTATTCTACGAATGTTACCTATTTCGGGCACATGCAAGGCTTTCTTAGAAGACATGAAAAAATATGCAGAAACATTTTTGGAACCCTGGTTTAAAGCTCCAAACAAAGGGACATTTCAGATTGTATATAAATCTCGAAATAACAGCCACATGAATAGAGAAGAAGTTATCAAAGAATTGGCAGGTATGTTTCTTTTAGTGATTTTACGTTTGTATGTAATAGTAAAACTTGTTTTTAGGAATTTTTTTTTAAGATTTAAGGCTTATATTTTTGGATATAAAACAAGTATATTAAAATGTCCTTAAAATAAGGGCGCATGGTTGGCTCAGCTGGTAGAGCATGTGACTCTTGATCTCAGGGTTGTGAGCTCGAGCCCCACATTGGGGACAGAGATTACTTTAAAAAAAAAAAAAGTCCTTAAAATAATATCAGACCTAACAGACTTGGATATGAGACTTTCTGGTAGTTAGATATTAAGTCTTCCAAATCAAGATTGAATTTTCTTTGGAAAAAAAAATTACTCTGATTAAATATTTCAGGATTTTATTTGTATTTATTTATTGAAAGAGTTCACAGAGTTTGACTGAGGTCCATGTAGAAGCATAGACTAGTATGTATATTGCTTTTAACAAGTCCCAAATGGAAAGATGAAAGATTGTGTTTGTATCTGTCAAGCTTCATGGTACCCTTCTCCCTCTAAGCGTTTCCCTATTCTTTTTGTTACAGGAATAGTAGGCAGCCTCAATTCGGAAAATAAAGTGGATCTTACCAATCCACAGTACACAGTGGTAGTAGAAATCATTAAAGCTGTCTGTTGCCTGAGTGTTGTGACAGATTACATGTTGTTCAGAAAGTATAATCTCCAGGAGGTGGTTAAGAGTGCTAAGGACCCATCACAGCTTAACCCAAAGCAGCCAGCACAAGCAGGAAATGGGAAAGAAGCTAAATTGGAATCTGGTGACAAATCAAATCAAAATGACCCAGCAGAAGGAAAAAATAACCAGCAAGTGGTACCAGAAAATAATGAGGAGCTGGGGCACACAAAACCAAGATCTGAGACACAGGTGGTGAGTGAGGGAGGAGCTAATCTTGAACTTGAAAGTCAAGTCACAGAAGGATCTGAGCCAAATGAAAATGACCTCTCATAGAGAAAAAAACATTTGGTGTTGCAGGTAGGTTTCTCTGGTGGCATTTGGTGAGATGTTGGTAGGATTCTGTATAAAATTGTGATTGAAAATACATACAGGTTTTGAACTTTGTATGTTGCATAATGCTGTACTCACAATAGTGAACAGTGATTGAGCAGCTCCATTAACAGTTATGTTAGAGAACTTTTCAGCCCCATGTGCCAGGTGCAGTTTGGCTTATGTGAATTTTGTTTAGCTGGGAAAAACTGTGGATAATTGGTGAGCACTTGCATGGAGCACTTGCATTGGTGACAGGAGGATAATGTTGGGCTCTCCCTCATGATTACTTTCCCCAGCCTCCCTTTCTGCACTGCCATCTAACTTACTGGAGTAAACAAACTCTGTAAGAGACACTCCTAGGGAAATTAGCATTCTAAGGAAGGAATTTTTACATGTTGCAACTCATCTGTCCCCTGTCACTTTGTTGTAAACATTGCAAAAACATGGGTCTTCTAGGTGAGGAGTGAATTGTTTTTTGTGAAGTTTTTGCATTTTTTTGTGATTCTTAGAGTTACTTTGTAACTCTTAGTTACTATGGCAGATTTTATATTTTATTAACATTTGTTAAACAAATCTGATGTTCCAGTGCTGCAATTTTTGAGGTCATGGTGTAAGATAGAAGAGGACCATTCTAGGCATAGAAATACAGACATTTCTGTTGAGGTTAGTGATGAAGAATTAGTCTTCTGTGATACTTTGGTATGCCAGTGCAACAAGGGACACAAATTCTTTCTTTACAGTGAAAGCTACTTTTCAGTGATCTTATGGATTTACAATCCAAGCTGTTGTCTTCCATTGTACATTGTGGAATGCAACTTACAAACCTAGCATTTGCTCTAGCAATTGCAACTATAAATCATAGCCATTTGATAAGTAAAGATGTTGATTATTTTAAATGGCATCTGGAATATCAGAACAGTAAACTGTGTTTAAAAAAGTCACATTCAGGGGCACCTGACTGGCTCACTTCGTAGAGCATGTGACCCTTGATCTCGGGGTTGTAGGTTTGAGCCCCCTGTTGGGTGTAGAGATTGCTTAAAAATAAAATCTTAAAAAAACAAAAAATCACATTCAGTAAAAGGTTTAGAAAGCAAAATTTTAGTAGCAGCATTATATTAGAAAAATTTAATAATAATATAATAATACCAATGTAATAATACCAATATAACATTAATATGTGAGGGCAAGAAGCAGTATAAGAAATTGAAAAGCCTTCACTTTCAGTTTAATAAATTGATTTATGTCTCCTGATACTAAAGAGGTTTGGGTAATTAACTGAAAAGCAGCCGCTTCTCTGTCTGGGTTGATGAGTCAACAGATTCCATGAATATTTGTCCTACTGTAGCCTTGGTAAGGTTGGTGAATGATGACGAAATTCAAGAAAGCTTGTTCTGCTGCGAGGAGCCTCTCAAGACAAAGGCAATATAAATTTAATGGGTCTTTATAACTGAAGACTGAAGGTCTGTCATCTCTACTCCTGGTGCTCATCCTTGGCTCCATGACCAGTTTTGCCTCATTCTGGTAAAAGGAAATGTTGACATTCATGTTATAGCACACTGCTTTCTTCCCAGAGAGGTGCTGATAGAAAACACTTGGAGTTGAAATGAAGAAAGTTCTGGATAATGCTGCAGAAATGGTTAACTTTATTAAAGACCCATTTATGCAGGAATGTTTAAAAATAAATAAAGCTCAAATCTGAACAAAGAGCACATAAATCTACATACAGAAATCCAGTGGCTTGTCAGAAGAGTTCTCAACAGGATATTTGAGTTGAAAGGTCAATTGCCAGAGTACTTACAAGAAAATATTAGGCCAGATTTTGCAGAGTGCTTTGGAGATGAAGGATGGCTAAGACACTAGTCTATTTAGCAGACTTTTTTTTTTTTTTTATCACATGAACAAACAAGTTCCTGCAAGGTCCTGGAGAAAATGTATTTTCTTAAAAGTGATAAGATTCTTGGATTGATAGGAACTGACTCGTTGGAACAGTCACATCGCCAAAGGAACTCTTGAAATGTTTCCACACACACTTGGGCATGAGAGTGAAGAAAAGATAGCAAGGAGTCTGAGGCCTTAACTAAAACTCTCTGTGAAGAACTGCAAAACCAAATAGCCTTTCCCCTCCTTTTCTCAACACCTGTGTATGACTAGGTGCGAAATCCCTTCTCTGAGTCTCAGCCCGAGATTTTGTCCAGGAGAAGAGAAAGAACTCTCTGAGTCATAGTCTGATAGTTCAGGATTTCTGTGAAATAAGAGTATCCTTAACTTAGTGCTGACACTCACATGCCATGAAACAATTTGAAAGTTTTTTCAAGGTTTCCCCCAGGGTAAAACTACTGAAAAAAACTGGAAGAGACTCACCAAAGAGGGCTGCATAAGAAGTCCAGGTTGAAAATAAATATTAAGAGGCTGTGAAATTCACATTTAGATGGGTTTATTTTTAAGTTTTAAAAAGTTCATAAGTATTATAAATGTTGAGTCTTCCTTCACCAATGTCTATGTCTGTTTAATGGCCAGGGAATGTGGTAATGTATTTTTATCCTCCTAAACTAGTGGTCCTGCTTGGTAAACCAGACTAGAAGGATTAGGGAGGGGAAAAGACTATAGATTGGACCTTGGTAATGCAGATGAGGCTGCAAGTCCTTCTAGATCTTTAGATATTTAGAGTGTTAACTCTTAATAGGTTGAGATCATTTTAAAAGGATGATCAGAGCATTTTAACTGTCACGGAGGATAGGATTTTGGTGCCTTCATCAGACTTGCTCCAAGACAAAGACACTTTTATTTTGATAGTGCAAGACTTTGGGACTCTGGGAATAAAATTGGCCATATGCTTACAGAACATCCAAGTTTGTGGAACTGGGTTCCTTTTACTTTGTGAAAGCTGCTACTCTACAGAAAGATTTTGATTTAGTAGTTTGTTTTTAATCCTCTTGTATTTATTTTTATTTGGTAAGACCTGCGACAAAAGCTATTCTTTCCAGCTGTAAAGCACTGTGTTCTGTTGGAATCTGATTTCATTCATTGATGCATTTTCAGGTTTCATAACTTTATTGTCACTGACTTTTGAGCATGTTGTTTTATAAGTGACAAGATTCCAGGGTGGAAATTGAGTGTTGTTGT